ATTTTAAATATCGTGTTGGCTGTCATGCGATCAATCAATCTCGATCTGTTCCGATTTTTATACAGCCCCTTTCGAAATTTAAATTATCCAAAGCGCTGCACAGAAATAACATGATGTATTTATATATAGCAATACAGTAGTTTATAAAATCAACCTTAAAATTGCGATGAACATTCGTCTCATTTTCGGAGCGGGTGGGAAACTGCTGCTCCGCTGTGTGGCCCAGAAGTCACACGAAGGCATCTCAGAGGTAGCTCTGTGGCATCGGCTTCCGCGGGCTGTTGTCTGTCATGCACGAAGGGACGCGCTCACTGCGAGATTTCCAAATGAATGATTTGTCCTCGCGCCGATGGCAGAGCGATCGGGGCGCACAGATCGCCGAGCACGGCAAGGGAAACTGATGGGTTTTTTTTGTTTCACGTTGAATGTGTCCCGGCTCAAGTGGAATATCATCCGGATGTCTTGCAGAGCAGTGCAGCCCTTCGTGTTGCAGAGCGGAAACCGCAGAAGCGGATATCATAGAGCTACCTCCGAAATCCGTTTAATGCTCGTCCATGGTCAGCAAAATCGAACACTTTTGATTCTCAAAGCTGGAATTGTGCCAAATTAAGTGCACTACTCAACAATAATGTTTTTGTGCGTGCATTAATTGCTGACTGGGCCTAGGCTATTAACTCAATTCACTTGAACACGCAGTTTCATCGCAACTCGATTTGTCGTAGCCTATGGGTCTCTATGTAAGTCTATGGGTGTCCATGCAAATCTATGGACATTCGTCAATGGGTATCTATATAAGTCGATGGGTCTCCATGTAAGTCTATGGGTGTCTATGTAAATCTATGGGCATTCATCTAAGTCAATGGGTCTCTATATAAGTCGATGGGTCTCCATGTAAGTCTATGGGTGTCTATGTAAATCCATGGACATTCATCTAAGTCAATGCGTCTCTATATAAGTCGATGGGTCTCCATGTAAGTTTATGGGTGTCCATGCAAATCTATGGCCATTCATCTAAGTCAATGCGTCTCTATATAAGTCGATGGGTCTCCATGTAAGTCTGTAGGTGTCTATGTAAATCTATGGACATTCATCTAAGTCAATGGGTCTCTATATAAGTCGATGGGTCTCCATGCAAGTCTATGGGTGTCCATGCAAATCTATGGACATTCATCCAAGTCAATGGGTCTCTATATAAGTCGATGGGTCTCCATGCAAGTCTATGGGTGTCCATGCAAATCTATGGACATTCATCTAAGTCAATGGGTCTCTATATAAGTCGATGGGTCTCCATGTAAGTCTATGGGTGTCTATGCAAATATATGGACATTCATCTAAGTCAATGGGTCTCTATGGAAGTCGACGGGTCTCCATGTAAGTCTATGGGTGTCTATGTAAATCTATGGACATTCATCCAAGTCAATGTGTCTCTATGTAAGTCGATGGGTCTCCATGTAAGTCTATGGGTGTCCATGCAAATCTATGGACATTCATCTAAGTCAATGGGTCTCTATATAAGTCGATGGGTCTCCATGCAAGTCTATGGGTGTCTATGTAAATCTTTGGACATTCATCTAAGTCAATGGGTCTCTATATAAGTCAATGGGTCTCTAAATAAGTCGATGGGTCTCCATCTAAGTCTATGGGTGTCCCGGCGTAATCGCAGTCTGCTGAAACCTGGATCCGAACCCAGGCTTCCGGCGGTGTCGGCTCCGCGCTGCGCCTCTGCAGTGACGCGGGCGCGCTGATTGTGGGTCACGTGGGGACGCGATGAGGCCGCGTGGGTGGCAGGATGGGCATGGCTGTCCGCTCAGAGGGCTCCCCGGCCCAGAGGCCGCTGCCACGACCGCTTAGCAACGCGGCACGGGACACGCAACGATAGCAACAACAGAAACAACAACAACAACAACACCCCCCCCCCACCCCTAAAAAAAATAAACCCCCAACGACAATAAAGAGGCATCATTCACGCTGCTCATCACGCGGGTCGCGCCGCTGACAGGGTGGGAGTGCTCTTTGGCGCGTGTGGGGGCTTATTTCCCTTCAAATTGTGCGGCTTAAATTGAAACCCGAGTCCCGAGCCGTCGTGATTGGAGAGGCGGCGGTGGAGATCTCTGCGAGGCGCTATCAGGTCGCCCGGTCGAATTGCGCAATCTGTTTCCGGCTTACGGAGCCGCTATCTCCAGGAATTCTGCCCGGCAATCGCTGACATTTCTCACCGTAGGTTTTTTTTTGTGCTCGTGTTAATCTGACCGATTAAATGTTTTTCTGGGAAAACCCAAATCTCATGGGATTATCGTGCCATTCCCCCCCACTCCCTCCTCTGAATAGCGCGAAACCACGGGGCAAATTCCTATTTAATATTCACCCTCCCTCCACCTCCGAAGGCCGGCTTTTGTGTCCGCCCCGTCCCGTGGCTTCTCAGCAGTTAAATCCCTCTCGTTTGAGTCACTCTCCAGCGGAATTGGATGTCGATATTGAAAACTATCAGCGGCGAGGAGGCCGGGTCACATCGAGGTCAACGACACTGAGTAGGCGCCGCCTGAGACCCTGGGGTGGTTCCAATCCGAGTTTCAGCCGCCCCCGTGATTAAACCGGTGCCTCGACTGTGGCGAGTTGAAGGCATCGGCCCGATCGTGATGTTTGATTGATGCACTTGATTGTGGTTGAAATTCCAGCCCTGAGAATTAGAAGTATCAATTTGACTGTCACGTGACGCTCTCATATCTCGGCCGCCTTTGTCTTCCCCAGTTGCTGATGCAGGACAGGCTCGGTAGTGGTTCAGATTACACTCGCCACTGATGTGTGGAGCGCTAACCACTGCGCCAATGCTACCAGGCGCGCACACCCTCACACTCGATTATTATTCTGTCGACGTTTGCTTACCAAGGAGGGTCCTGCCAATTTTTTTCCCAGTCGCAGGGGAGATGTTGCTGCTGTGTGGTCCCAGCTGGGCAATTTGCAGGTACTTTTTCAGCATTGGGATGTTTGGCCAGATATATTGTGAGTTTGGGTTATTTTTTATGTTTGCAACTCTGGAAGGAGACCAGAAAAACCGGAGGTCCCGGAGAAAAATCCACGCGACCACGGGGAGAGCAGCGTGCAAACTCCAAATATGCAGGCGTCAGGGTCGGGATCGATCCCACAACCTCCCGCATACCAGGCGAGGAAGATGACACCTCGCCACCGCGGTCGAGAGCACGAGAACACGGGCGATTAAAATAAACACGCGGACACCTTTGATGTCTGCCCCTGCACGATGAACCCCGTTCACACGCCGTGCCGCGAAATGCGACGCACGTGGCAGCACACGAATTTAATCGAGATCCACAATCTGTGCGGAGTTTTTGAGTGCGCGATTCCTCCCGCATCTCCGGTACGCGCGCGGTAGGTTTCCTCCCACGCGGAGGCAAAAACCTTCATGGAAATGGAATTGGTACCGCATCCACCCATCGGAGCAGCACCCTCCGCTTGTCGTGGTTGCAGATGCGTCCGTGTGTGCATAACGTGGACGTCACAATGCCCGGGTTGGCTTCCCTGCATTGTTCAGCTATTCTCCGTTACATCACGTTTGAGATATTCACAATATTATATGGATACCATGTATATTAATATTCTTCGACAGCCCCACGCATCAGCTCGCCCACTCGCATAATTCACTCCAAGTTGAAATAAACGATTGAATAAATAAACACGTGGCAGACGAGGGAGGCGATGAGGGGAAGGGAGGAGGGGGGAGATGCGGGGTTGAGGGCTTTAATTAATGATGGCATTGTGGGGTTTAAAGCCCTTTGACAGTTCACCAAAGGAAATTCTTAAAGAGCCCCTCTGGAGGGTGCTCGAATGGTCGGCACGTGCGCGGTGTTTGTTGGGTTGCGAACCCGCTCGGGGAGTTGAGAGACTGGTGCACGTGGGGCCACCATCGGGGCCGTTGGCCGCGGTCGAGATGAGTCGTCTGATTCTGCGGCCCCCGCTTTGGAGCTTTCTGTCAAGAAACATTTTTGAGTGAGTGGGGTGGTGGTGGGGGGGAGGCAGTAGGGCTGGTGGGGTGGGAGGCACCGTCACAGCGATTCACCGCTAGGGGGAAGTGAGCTTGGGTAGCGGCCCACAGAGGCACATTCAGGGGGTGGAGGGGCCTATCCCATCCCAGCGCCGCTCGATCGCGGCCCTCATCACAGCAGCGACGCAGGCGGCACGTGGGACTCTCTCGACCGGCTCGAGGCGTCCACCGTGGTGGAGGGCCACGCGGTACAATCTCCATTTTCTATACCTCGCGTGCGCGCGTGCCCCTGTGTGAACCCCCCCCCCCACCTCTTCAGCGGCTGTTTTCTCATTGGTTAACAATATGCCAGTAGCGTGGCGATTGGCTGAGTGCGCAGGCGGTGCTACTGCACCGTCACTGGGTTCACACGCCCCCCCCTCCCCAATAAAAACAAACATCGAGTCGTCATCTCTCTTCGTACTTGTTGTTGTGAACGTCTCGCTCATCCACAATGCTACGCCACTGTGATGGGTGATACCAATGGAAGATCCAAGGGGGGGGGGGGGGTGAAAGGGCTCAATGGGGGCGATAGCCATCACGCCGCCCCTTGAGACCCCTAACATTGGTGTCAAGTTGATATTTACCAGAGAAGATAACACCGCATGATTTTGATTCCATAAAAGGACCCTGCAATGTGAACAACGCGTTCCCGTTTTGAAATCTATTATTATTCTTATCTAGCTGCTCAAAGAGCGATTCTCGTCCTGATCTCGAAGCCCGCTGCTCCCCCCCCCCTCACGACCTCCGCCCACCCCCACCATGACCGCTGCCCACGCTCACTCCCACCACCCTGGCTCCCTGCCCCCCCCCCCCACTCTACAACCCCCACAACGCAAAGCCCAAATAAGCCCAACCCTCCCCCCCCCCTAGTCCCGGTGAATTGGAGGGGCCCAGAGAATAAGCGGGCGGGGCCAAAAGAAGAACAGGGCGGGGCCTAAAGAAAACGGGGGCGGGGCCTAAAGAAGACGGGGGCGGGGCTTAAAAAGGAAAGGCGCGGTGCGCAAAGCGTGAGGGAGCCCTGAGGAGCCGTGGTGGTGAGGCATAAGGAGTGGCCCGCCGCGGTCGAACTTTCCCTCTTGATTAAAGGTAACAGACGCACGCCGAATGAAATCCGCGCAGCAGGCGACAGGCAGCGGCAGGCAGCTGTAGGGCCCTCACGCCGCCGGCGCGCTCACAGACCGACGTCGATTCGGACGCTTTCACCGCACAGCGCTGGCATGGCTACGCCACGGCGCTCGAGAACTTCAGCCGACGGCGTTGCCAGCGGCCGAACTCTCCTCCCCCGCGGCGCGATCCGCGTCCGCGCCTCGGCTGGCGGTGGGGGTGGGGGGGGGTCGGCAGTAACTCGTCGCTTCATCACGAGCGGAACTTGTCCGCTTCGTAACAAAGTGTCCCCTTCCCCCGTGAAGATCCGCAGCTCGGGCTGCTGCCTCGCCAAGGAGTCGCCGGCCACAGTTCGGAGCGCCGCGCCTCGCCGTGCGGGGAGTTGGGGTCACCGGGAGGGAGAGAGAGAGAGAGAGTTGGGTCGTTGTGTGCCGGCGTCACGCTCCAAAAGTTTGTCAACATTTCGAAAAATGATATCGCAGCGTCGTCATCATCATCATCCACCCCCCACCGCTGTGCGGCTCCTTCACGCCGCGTCCGTGATGGCTTCGCGCCGCACAGGAAGGATTCTCGCGCCAATACCAAATGCGCTCGTTTCCTTTCCTTATTATTATTATTCCATGCCAATGGTGAATTTGTGTTAGCCGTGTGGGAAGTACAAGTTGGTTAATGATGCATTCCCCCTTATAGCTGACGCGAGTGTTCCGTGCGGTGCGAATCAGTGCGGCTGCGTGTGAGAGCCTCAAACAGAAATGCTCACTGCGGCGCACTGGCGGCGGGGAGGGAGAGCTGGCGAGAAGCGACTGCACCGTGGGACACGTGCGTACTCCTCGACCACTCCACCGTGGGACACGTCCGTCTCCTCGACCACTCTCCCCGTGAGACACGTCCGTCTCCTCGACCACTCAGCCCGTGAGACACGTGCGTCTCCTCGAGCACTCAGCCCGTGAGACACGTCCGTCTCCTCGACCACTCTCCCCGTGAGACACCTGCGTCTCCTCGACCACTCTCCCCGTGAGACACCTGCGTCTCCTCGACCACTCTCCCCGCGAGACACGTCCGTCTCCTCCATGAGTCTCAAGACTCTTTTTCAGGAAGATCCTGCCCAAGTGATTAATTCCCCAGTCGATGTTTTTCCGAGATGCTGCCAACCTGGGTTGGAGTAAGGAATTGTCACTAGGGTAAGATATTCGCCTTTGTAGAACCATCCTATACTATTGTTAACGTATCGAGGCGATCTTAGAGCACCGTGAACAGGTTTATAAATATTAGATGCCGTATCACAAGGATACCACGAGGCGAGGGTTGGATGTGTCGGGCCAAAATAATTCCCGGGAACAGCGGTCCCGACTCCTCCAGCTGAAATGAGACCCCGATTGCCAATGTCCAAATCCTCTTTCCCGAGTGTGTGGAGAAACCCCCGCCGTGCCCACGAAGGGGGACAGCAATCCAGAGGTCCACACAGATGGGTTCACACGCCCACTCGCCTCGCCTTCATCTCCCGACCGCCTCTCAGCGCAGCGAGGAATTTGGAATTTGTCGCAGATCTGCGATCGGCCGATCCTCGCGTGCACGGCGCCGAATCGCAGCCGCCGTTGCGTCACCGAATCTCGCGGCTCAACTGGAATCCGTCATTAACGAAGCCTCGAAATTAAAATTAAACCTAATTACATTCTGCCTGCTTCCTTCCCCGTGATTATGCCTGCAGTGAAAGAGAGAGTGAAAGAGAGAGTGAGAGAGAGAGAGTGAGAGAGTGAGCCAGAGGCTTCATTTGGCTTATTCTTTGGACGCCCCGAACTGGAGCGAAAAGATTTAAGTTTAGGGTTAAAATCAAATAAAGAATATTTGACCGCGATAATTCTTAATTATTGTTGAACGCTTCGTGTTCGAGTTACTTATTTTAAGATTTGACGCTTCATGATGGTGGTGTACACACATTGGTATCGAGCAAATGTGACGGAAAAAAGAGAGAGCGAGAAAGAGAGTGAGAGCAAGAGAGGAGAGAGCGAGTTAGAGGTGTGGTATGTGTTGGAATGCTCCGGAAAGCAGGGAGACCCACGTGGTGTGACCCCCACTGGGCCCCTCGCCCGTAACCGTTCGCTCAGCGCCGGCAACTCCTCCAAAATCATCAGGCGCATTATTTGGCGATGATGCTGCTGCTGCTGCTTCTGCTGCTGCGTTGGAGATGATGGGTCACCGTTGATTCCATGGATGATGGGAGTCCACGCAAAAGCATATAATGTAGTGTACAACTCACATAGATTGTCACTAAGTTCAAGGAAGTAATATGAACAAGGAGGACCATTTCTAAGTCAGTAGAATTTACTTTTTGTATACAGAGAGCTATGACATGGATCAGAAACATGACCGCTACAGAAAGGTGCACAAAGACGCATCGAGATGCATGCTTGGAATTAGACAAAAATACTCAACTCAGCCGTCAAAAACACCGGGTTGGCCTTAAAATGAATTCAATATATAACACGCGACGTTTCGGCCGTGCCCCTATGGAACGCGTCCCATCCCTTGGCTGTCACTCGGTTATGAGCCTTGCCCATGGCCCAAATCGTCCCTTTTGGCCGTGACCGCGTCCTCGCGTTTCTCAACAGCCTTAGGACGATGCCATTCGCCTGCGTGTGAGCTGCACGATCACAGCTGCTGCCTTTTGTATTTGGGTCCCGTGGCCCACGCCGCTAATTATATCGGTGTGGACGGAGTTTGGACATGAAGTGAATTGTTGCGCCAGTCTCCGTGAGCTTTGAGAGATAACCTCTTGGTTCGCCTTATGAGCTGTTGCCTCCGGCAGCTCAAATCTACGATTCAAATTCCCACGCTGCCGTTCCGCCGAGGGTGAGCGAGGCGCGAGGCGACACGGGGGCGCGGGCGGCGCACAGCGAGGCCCTCTGTGCCATTGATCTCCCCCGCCCCCACTCTGGAGAGAACAAAGATTGGTCAAGCGGGTTTTTTTTGTGTTGTTGTATAACTTTCATTGTCTCCACGTGGAACCCGGCGGTAGCGGGGAGAACACAGAAGCTCATTCATTCAGTAAATTTCCATCAAAATATCAGCTGCGCTGCATCCCCAGCGGGAGATCCCGAACAGAAAAAAAAAACATCCTTTCACAGCTCTAGCTTACACGCAATGGCCTGGGGTGGAACGGTGGCGCAGTGGTTAAGCGCACCTCGCTTCGATTCCCGGCCACGGCTGACATCAGTGGTGAGTGATATCTGAATCGGTCCCGGGGCATCCGATGTCAATAACGTCAGCACTGGGGAGACAAAGACGGTGGTGCGTCGTATTGGTCTTACCACCCCCTCGTGCGCCGTGCCCGCCTTCATAGGTGCCCGCTAACAGCACTTTGCCACAACAGCTTGTGCGGGTTATATGGGGGGGGGGGGTCGTATCTTTATTGTGTGTCAAGATCGGCCTCTGTGGATGCGGCTCGTGAAGGGCGCTGCTGGGAAGAGGAGGACGGCTAAAACCCAGCGAGGTGGCACAAGAGGGAGCACAGGCGGTGCATCTTCCAACCCTCCCAGTCAGTCGACCCATGGCACCTGGGCCTGCCTCGTGACCTCCTGCCAGCAGCGAGCCTTCGACGCGTCACGTGGCCTTCTGGTGCACCTGGCCTGGCCCAAGCGCTTGTGGTGACGTCAACGCCACTTTAGTTGCGAACGACGGCGGCTGATGTTGTTGTGTTGCGAGCATTTGCGCTCAGAGCAGAGAGTGAGGCAGTGACAGCAACACGGGTAGAGAGCACCACGGGTAGAGAGCACCACGGGTAGAGAGCAACACGGGTAGAGAGCAACACGCGTCTTTACTGCACAGTGACACCACACGGACACGTGAGCACGCACCAAGCTGGGGGTGGGGGCGAGTGGGGGGGGGCAGAGCCGGATTTTGGGGGGCAGAGTGTACAACTATAAGCACGACTACATCCATTCATTGATGTTTTGTTATGCAGCACCGTGGTGATGAGGGCGTTTCTCATGACGATAGTAATTGTGAAGGCAATTATAATGGTGGTAATTCTGATGCTGATGGCGGTGATGGTGGTGATGATGATGACGATGCATCTGTTAGGTGCTGTCAGCCAGTCCAGTTCTCTCTGGCGAGGCGGAGTGACCATTTTGATGTCGGCACGGTCACTCGCACAACGGAACTCCGGTCACGATGGTGGTTGTTGCGTTTCATAGAGCGCCCTGACACGCGATAAGCGACCTACATCACGACTCATCTCGGAACATTCGAAAGGGCCTCCCCCGTGGCAGATGGCCCTGTGCGGCGCAAGGTTTACCGGGCACGTGGCCTGCAAGTCCGCCAGCAGGGAGCGGTGATTGCGGCTTGCCGCGTGTGATCCCATTTTGAGCAACTTACACCAATTAAACCCCTCCATCCGTGACCATAAATCTAAAGAGAGAGAGAGGGAGAGAGAGAAAAAAAGAACCCGGAGTGGATTTGATCGCCCGTACAATTACAATCGGTCACTGGTCTAGCAGCAGCAGCAGGGACTGTGAAGAGTCGAAAGGCTCGCAGCTGCGGTCACACGCGTGCTGGTACCGCCTGGGCCCCCGTGGTTTCAAAGTGCCAACCAATTTCTCCGCGCGGCCGATAAAAGTGAAATGTGCGATGGCCTCGTGGCGTGAGCGGAGCGGCGTCTCCGTAACTCAGCCGCTTGCAATTTGAGCGCGGGGCCCCGGGGCTACGGGGAGATCACTCACGGCGGGAGGAGGGGGGCGTGCGCCACTGGGAGGTGGAGCGCCAGTGTGTCGCGTGCCTCCAACGGGAGCGGCGCTGGTTCTACGGGGTGGGGGGGGGGGGGGCTCTGGGTGAGCCTTGACCCTCTCATGAACAGCAGTGCCGCTCCCTCCCCCCTCCCTCGTCCATTCAGAGGCAGCTCCTCGGGGTGGCTCTGAGGAAGGCGCTCAACGACCAAGGTCAAGAGGTCATCACGGCCACAGCGGCCACCGCCACCACCACCGCCTAGACCGCCGCCACCAGCAATCAGCAGCAGCGTTGTTATCGATGCGTCACCGTTATCGCGGCGGAAACGCGACGCGTACACGGTTCCCTGTGCGCAGTCGCGCGTGTTATCCAACAATAATGAGAAGAATAACAAGAGTTAAAACACGAACAATCACGCTAATCTACCCAACAATAATAACGATAAAATAATGTACAGCCCGTTACCGATCCACTGCTGGGTGAAGGCCACCCCACGCACTGCGGTTGACAGCTGTCCCGGTTTTGACCCCCGAGCAGTCTTGGATTTTGGCCGGACCGCAGCAGGAGCTGATTTGTGTACCGAGGCCCCGTAGCGACGTTGCAGTGATGCACGTGAGGGCAGCACCCGGCACAGCTCCGACAACAGACCTCGGACTCACTGGGATGTCTATGTGTGCGTGCGGGTGTGGAATCCCCTCCCCCAAACATCCACCGTTGGTCATCACGGGAGTTGTTTCGCAACACTTCACCACGCTGGTCAGGGTGGACTGGTGAAGACGCGGAGGGTGGGCGCCGATTCGGACACCGCTCGCTTACTGATGGCAGTCACGGTCTGGGATTGAACTCAAGTCTCTGGGTGCATAGCGCTGCGTTAAAACCACTGCGTCGCCCCGGCAAACAGTGTAGGGAGGTCGCGCATCACGGGGAGCAGTGGTGAAGTGGTTCGTGCACTCCGCTGTGAAACCCCATACCTGAGTTCGATTCCTGGCCTGACATCAGTGGCGAGTGGTTTACGCGTCTGTCCTGCGTGGTCTCTGCGTCAGACACAGCCTCCGGCGAGCCGCGCTGACCAGAGCGGTGAAGTATGGACAAATAACCTCTATGACTGACACATTGTGGCGAGGTCTCCATTCAAAAGTGGATAGATAAAGAGGCTGCCAATGATAACTGTCTGAACCGCAGGAGAGCATTTGTCACAAAGCGCCAGCGACACCAAGACCCGTAGTCCTCTTAGTTTTTACGGCCCGGGTCAGGCTTGGCTCTGGCTCAAGGAAGCCGGCTCAGAGCCGTGCCCACGCACTGGAGCCGGCTCTGGGCACGGTCCCAGCCACGCTGCGCCGGAGCCGTGGCCGAGCCGCGAACGGCTCGGGATTGGGCTGGAGGCCCCCGGTGTGGAACGGAGAGTCGCTGTCCAAATCCGTCAAACGCCACGTGGATTGTCTGAACCTTTAAAGTGCCACTCGACCCTAAGGCACATCATGGCCATCTCAATTGGTACCCTTTGGTGTCACATTGAAATGCACGGCCACCTACTACATTTCTTCATGTATAATATTTGTGTGATTCTGCCAAGTTTTGCGCAGGAGGGAGCAATGTATGATCCCGGTCGAGTAAATCCTCAGGTTATTTTTCATTACCGTGATGTTTTTGAACCAATAACCGGTTGCAACGTTCGTCTTTTTTTGTTTGTTTAAAGCTGTGATGAGCGGAAACTGGGGAACCCGGAGGGAACGGCGTGCAGAACAGGAGGAGAACGCGCCGCCTCCACGCAGAAAGACGCCCTCCCTCCCTCCCTCCCTCCCTCCCTCCCTCCCTCCCTCCCTCCCTCCCTCCCTCCCTCCCTCCCTCCCTCCCTCCCTCCCTCCCTCCCTCCCTCCCTCCCTCCCTCCCTCCCTCCCTCCCTCCCTCCCTCCCTCCCTCCCTCCCTCCCTCCCTCCCTCCCTCCCTCCCTCC